TCCATGTAGTGAACCAGCAGAGGATCGTCCTGGAGGCTGCGGAAGCCAACATGGTGGCCTCTCGCCTTCTCATAAGCCTTTTTGTACTGGACCTAAAGAAAAAAAAAAGAAAAAGTGATGTGTTGATTCTTTCTTTTTTACAGTTAAATTTAGTTAAATTTATTACATGCATTTATTACATACATTGCTGGCAATATGCCTGCCATGCTTGGCATGCAGGATGGGAATAGCATCAGGCTTCATGTCATATCCCTTGGCAATGTCTTCCACCCACTTGTGCCTGTAATGACTCTGCAAATAAACAGCAAAGTGTTACAACAACTTTTTGCACAACTATGCTCATATACACCTTGAACCTCAGGAAATTGCTATTGCTTCAACTTGCATATTCAGTTAAATAATTTGTGCTCTAACCTCGCTAATAGTCTGGGCATTAAACTTAGCCTGGAGAAACTCAGGGCAGTCAGATGGCAGATGGTAGGTGTGCATGAACTTCTCTCCAGAAGCTTTGTATGTAGTCTAGTCAGAAGAAAAAAACAACAGTGAATGTTTAAAAAATCTCTACATAAGTATCTTCTGTTAAGAAAAGGGATTCTTACGATGTCCATCTGTTTAGTGTTGGCCATAGCCAGAGTCATGTTCATGGCATCGGTCTTGCTTGTATATTTGAAATTACTGGGGTGCTGGCGGTAATTTCTTTCATCCAGTGCAGCTTTAGCGGTTTTGGCTTTTTCAACATCCAGAGAACCAATAGGGACCCATCCTATACCTTTAGAGTAGCTGTTGTAATCTGACTTGTAGACATTCTGTGGGTATTTAGAGAAAATCTAAATTAATCAAAGGTCATAATCAAATATATACATATATGTAATGCTATATATGTTGTTCCAGGATGAGACCAATATATAAAGATAATAAGATGAAAAGAATACACACGTCACTCTGAATCTCCATCATGTTGCGACACAGCCGCAGGTGCATGTTGTCAGGAAGAAGCAAGAAGCTGTGGGGGATCTTCTTGTATCCAGCCATTGTCTGAACAGCAGAAGCCTGCTTGGCATGAGCCACACTGAGCATGTCCACTGGGGTGTGATACTTCAGCTTGGCCTTGTGGTAGTCCTTCTTGTAGTTCTTGTCACTCTGCATCTTTGCCACTTGCATATAGTGAACCAGCAGAGGATCATCCTGGAGGCTGCGGAAGCCAACGTGGTGGCCCTTTTCTTTCTCATAGGCCAGCTTATACTTGTACTGTATTAAATAAAATGCAATATAAGTAATATTATTAAATGCATTAACATTTAAAAATTATTATGAAAAGCATAATTCCAGCTTACATTGCTGGCAATGTTTCTTGAAGTTTTGGCTGCTACGATGGGAATGGAATCCTCTTTCATGTGATGTCCTTTGAGCAGATCTTGGCGGTGAGAATAAGTGTAATAATTCTAAACAAAAAGATAATCAGCGATATTGTTACAAAAACATTCACAATTAAATTTCTTTGTATGTTTCATATGTGCTTAAATCAATCTGCAGCTAACCTGGCTGATGTTGGCAGCATTGTATCTGGCTTGCAGAAATTGGGGGGCATCAGGAGGGAGATTGTAAGTGTGCATGAACTTCTCTCCGCTGGCTTTGTACTCTTTCTGTGTAATTACAGTGAAGGCAAGAATTTATTTCTTCTCTGAAAAGGACTAAATTTTAGATATGTAGCATAAGTCATTATTTTGTTTTGTCCTTCTCACCACATTCATGATCTTAGCATTGGTCTTAGCCAGCTCCATGCTCATGGAGTCAGTAGCACTGGTGAACTTGATGGTTTGAGGGTGCTGTCTGTACTTTTTCTCATTCAGAGCTGCTGCTGCCGTTTTGGCTTTTTCAACCTCCAGAGAACCAATTGGAACCCAGCCAATACCCTTGACCGAGGTCTCATAATCCATCTTGTAGTTGTGCTGAGAAATAGAAAAAAACCCCAGAAAAACAAGAAACTATTGTCAGACCAAATACCATTTTTAGAGAGTCCATTGCCATTAAGTCACAAGCATTGTTAGTAACATACATCGCTGGAATTGTAGTTCATGGTGCGAGCAAGTTGCAGACCCATAGCATCAGGGAGAAGAAAGTATTTATGGTGGTGCTGCTTGTAGCCAATGTAGGTCTGCACTGCTGAAGCATGTTTAGCCTGAACCACACTGAGCATGTCCACTGGGGTGTGATACTTCAGCTTGGCCTTGTGGTAGTCCTTCTTGTAGTTCTTGTCACTCTGCATTCTGGCCACCTCC